GTCTTCATGTTTGTCCACCTCGAAAAAAGAAGAGGAGACAGGGCTGGGAGGGTGGGGTGGGTGGAGCTCAGCATCTCCTCTGCTGGGGGTGGAGCAGACACCAGCTGATGGGGAGATCACTGAGCTGGACTTCGGTGGGCCTCCAGCTCATGAGCCCATTTAGCTGATGAGGAAGTTGAGTCACAGAGAGACTCGTGGTCTACCCGCCCCTCACAGCTGGTTGGTGGTGGAGCTGCAAGAACACTGACCTCTTCACTTCTCATGCAAAGAACTTTCCACCACACTGCATAGCTGATCTTAAGCAGTGTTTAGGATCCAGCTTTAGTGTTTTCTCAAACTGGTTTGCGTTTTCATGTGTTGCTTTGATCTTCACAATTTTATATCCATTTGGGAAGTTATATCAACATGTGAAAAAAGATTTTCTTTCTCCCCACTTTTCAGCTTTGCCCCAGTTAAGACGTTGGCACATGCCTCTGGTTTATACTGATTTCTTCCACTGGCGACTTCGGAACGATCCTACATCTCCTGGAATCACTGTGGCATCGACCAACACAATACTTCAAATAATGCTTTTCTCCTACCCTGTGGCTGTGGCCAGTGGAGTTACCCTGGAAAATGGGAGAGGGTGGGCCTCCTGCCCATAACAACCCCTCTGCTTGGAGGGGTCTGTGGTTCTGAGAGAGCCGACTATGAAAACCCTCAGAGAGAAGCAATCTAGAAAGAACGCTGGCCTGTCCCCTGTGGACAAGGGCCTTTCCAACTGTGGGACAGGTTGCTGAGGACAGAGTGTGATTCATCGAGGGGTCCTTCTGTGCTTCAGATGCGGACAAGAAATGAGCATGTCATCTTCTCACGCACGTCTCCTAGACCTGCCACCTTGGGGCCGAGGCGAGGCCTGAATGGGAGTAGCAGTGACCGAACTCAGAGGAGCCTTGGACCGTCCTCGTGACATGCCCAGAGGAACGGTGCCTGCTACACCCTTGCCTACCCTCTGCCTGCGCTCAGCGACGGGGAAGGTGTCGGTCGCCTGGCTGCACGGACGAGGAAGGCAGCAGAAGTGAGGCCAGGACTGGGCTGGCTCTGCCTGTGAAGGTAGGAGCTGCAAACCTAGGCAAGAAGCGAGGGGCATGGAACAGGTCTCTAGCCTTGAGGCCTGGGCAGCCTCCTTCCTGAGTAACGTTCTTTCCCCACAGATAGTCCCAGCTTCGGCTCCAGGTGTTGCAGGAAAATGGGGCATGAGATGATGGTCATGTCCCAGGTCTCAGGTGAGTCCATGGGACAGGCTACCAAGTGAGGGGCATTGACTTCACACAGGAAAGAATTCAAGAGCGAGCCACAGTAAAGTGAAAGCAAATTTACTTTAGGGAGATACGCACCCCAGAGTCAGAGTGTAGTCCATCTCGCTCAGAAGGGAGCCCAGGGGTGTTAGTTTTCAGGGGCTGGGTAATTTTATATGCTAACGAGTGGGAGGATTATTCCAAGTATTTGGGGGTAGGGGTGGGCATTTCCAGGAACTGGGCCACCTCCCACTTTTTGGCCTTTTATGGCCAGCCTGAGAACTGTCATGTGCCTGTGGGAGTGTCATTTAGCAGCTAATGTATTACAGTGAGTGTATAATGAGGCTCAAGGTCTGCTGGGAGTTGAATCTTCCACCATCTTGGGCCTAGTTGGTTCTAACCAGTTTATGATATAACCTCAGTGACTGTGTCATTCTTTTAAAGGTTATGCCCTGCCCCCTTCCCTCCCATCTCACAGGGACTCTGTGGTAGATTGATGGCAGTCACAGTCCTGACTATACCGACCTGAGTTCATGCCCTTTGCAGGATGACTTTGTACCTCCTGTCATCAAGAGATGAAGTCCATTTACCCGCTCTTGCATCTGGACTGGCCTTGTGTCTTGCTTCAGCCAACATAATGTGGCAAATGACAGTGTGCCAGTTCTGAGTCTTGGCTTCAATAGTCCTTGCAAACTTTCACTTAACTCTCTTGGCTCCTGCAATGGCCTGTGAACAAGCCTAGGGTAGCCTTCTGACGCTGCTGGAGAAGGAAATATGTGGCCCATCACTCTCACTGACCCAGCTGATAGCTGTCAACCCCCAGAAGGAGAGACCTGTGGTTGACTGCCCATGCATGAGGAACCCAGCTGAGACCAACCTAAATTGCTGACCCATAGAACGATAACCTAAGGGAATGACTGTTGGTGTAAACCTAAACCTGAGGGTGACTTGCTTCACAGAAATAAGTAACCAATACAAGCCCCATGGGAGCAGGTGAAAAGGAGGAGCCTGCATCTTGGGAAAGCCTGGGCTGTTGGGGGAACAGGGGAGGCAGCTGAGATCCACGAGTTGCCTGAAACCAGGAAGCCCAAGCAGCCAGGTCTCACCTTGAGGGCCCCCTGGAGACCAGGTCCTCGTAAGGCGACAAGGAGTGAAGCCACCTGGGGCAGAGCAGCAGGAGTAATAAGGACCAGGGCACTTGGTTACCATGGGGAATAAATAAACCTTTAATGATGATGGGAAACCACTTTGCGTGTGTACTCTTCCCAGGCACTCTCTTCTTCAAGGCAGTTGGCCTTCGGCACATCACAGGGGTGGGGTCCCCGCGATAGAAAATACTGATTCATGAGCATCAGGTCTCCAGGGAATTCGGCTAGGCGCAAAAGATTTCTGTTCGTTAAGCCAGCGATGGATCGCTCTTTCTTTGTGGGGGGGAGGAAGGGCTTTAGATCATTTGGATGGTATGTTACACTTTTTTTTCGTTCTTCTGACTTGAAAATCACATTCATTTTTATTTCCTGTCTTGCGGTTTTGCCCTCCTCTTCATCTCTCTTTTCTTGATGGGCATCACCACAGTCATCAGCGTCCTCGTCATCCTCATCCTCCCCAGCCCTGTCCCTTGCCGTGGGGCCCAGGCCCCCTCCAGACAGAAGCGAAGAGCCCCTAAAGCTTTCGATGTAGGGTAAAAACTGCTTACTTCTCAGGGCTCGAGCCAGCTGCATTCGTTCTATGTGCTTGCTGATGTTCAGCCTCTCTCGCCGTGGGATTCTGAGCTCCTCCACAGGCACGATCACCTTTGCCGTCCAAATTTTTTCTAGGGGCCCGCAGATGGCACAAGGAGAGGAACGTTGATTTTTATATTCCATCGCCCGTTTGTAATCTGAAGACAGCAAGTGCAGTTCCTTGAGCATTTTCCGTTCTGCCTCTTGCTTATAAGTCAGAAACCTTCTGGCTGCTACAGTGTGAACACCACCCAGACGCTGACCAAGGGGAGAGGATGGTTAAAATCTCCAAGGGACAGGAGCAGGGGACACATGCAGGAAGAATCATCTAGTGGCCCCTTCACCCTCCATTGCTGAATGTGCCCGTGTAGGGAGAAAGAGGGAAGATCTTTGCGGTCAGATGATCCTGAGCTCAAATCCTGACTCTCCTTCTTACCTACTATGAATTCAAAAGAGTTTTACTGACCTTAAAGGGCCACCTTGAAGCTGCCATAAAACAATAGATATGGAAGCAGCTAGGATAAGGAAAGGGCTCAGGAAAAGGCAGCTTCTGTCCTTTCAATCACTTGTAGTTATGGTCCTACTTGGGACTTTGAGATAAGGCAGGATTTTACTGTGCTAGTGCAGAAGCCACTGGCTGACTCAGCCAACTCTAGTCGACTGTTCGGGGGACTTACATCTCTACTGTTAGTGGTTTGGGACCCTCTGGTTCCCCTAGCCTAACTGCCTGGCTTCTGTGGGGCCTCTCGGTGTATAAATTTCAGGGCACTTACTATGATCTCTTTTTCCAAAGGGGAGTATTTCCCGAGGGCAATGCGTGGGTCTGATTTGTAGAATTGGGTCCATATCCTGGAAGACAGAGAGGCATATTAGAACTCAGAAAGGGTCTTCTTGGTTTTCCCTTTTTGAGTGGGAAATCTCACAAAGGGTGATTCCACGTTCATCAGGATGGGGCCAATTGTGACCAGGGTTTCTATGGCCACAGGGTGGGCTCCTCCAGTTGGCTTCATTCTGAGATGGATGGGAAGGAATGGACCAGAAGCACACGTCACACTCACCCCAGTGGTGAAGCAGGACATGGATCCCCTTGGCAGCACAGGGAGCCTTTATCCTGAAAGGAATGGCTTATACTGAATACTTTGACTGGTGTTCCGTCCTTATTTGACTTCCTCTCTGTGGTCATCCTTCCTTGGGCTCTTAAATCTCCAGCCCTCTGTTTTCCAGTCTTCTGACAGCCATTCTCCCATTCTCTGATCATACTCTGGCAATAGGCTAGGATGGGAAGTGTCAATGCCTGGAGGGTTTTTTTTGTAACACAGTTTAATGGAAACCCAAGGGACAGTCACAAACTCTTCTTGCATCATAACAGGCTTACTTGGGAGTGATTGTGAGGTCTCAGTTAAGGCATTAAATGATCCCCTGAGGTGAAACAGACACACAGGACTATGCTTCTGGTGTGTTGGAGTCCAGAGGAATAGAGCAGGCAGAGTGTGGCTGGGAGGTGATCTGACCACGTCACTGCCACTTACGACCCCATAAAGCCTGCCCGGTTCTTTTGGGATGAAGCCTCAGTCAGCTAAAGCCTCTCGCCCTGGTACTCACTTGCCTCTCCAATCTTAGTTCCTCATGCTCCATCAATGCACTCTACCCACGGTTCTTGGACTCAGCTTCTAGGCATGCTCCCCCTGTGTCTCAAATACCTGTCTCCTCCTTGGCAACTTGCTTGTCTTTCAGAGCCCAGTTTTACTGTTTCCTCCTCTGAAGGTTTCCTGGCAGAATACGTTGTCCCTTTGTCCACGTTCTCATAGCCCTTCCTGTATCATGCTATAGTGCTTTGTCGCATATTGACTTGTTGTCCAATAGGTCTGTCTCTCCCTCTGCTCCAGAGCAGGTGCCAGGAGCATCTCATTCTTTGCAATGCTGTTGTTTACACGGGATCTGATATACAGCCGATGCTCAGCTTGTTGACTCAGCAAGCAGTCATCTTGGGTTCCTGCCCAAAGGCGGGGTCAAGTATGTTGCTGGTGGAAACATATATTGGTACAATTCCTATAGAAAGTAATTAGGCAATATGTATCAAAAGTTACAAATGCATTTACCCTTGGACCCAGCAATTACGTGTACAAAATAAAATATCCACAAAGTTAGTCGACGCAGCCTTGTTTGAGATGACAAACCTAACGGCAAACTCAAATGTCCATTAATCAGGGGCTGGTTAATGAGTTATCGTCAACCATACAATAGAATACTCTATAGGAGTAATAGGACTAAAGGAGTAATAAAAAGACCTCTATTTATTTGGGAATAGCGCTGAGAAATATTAAGTGCAAAAAGCAAGATGTGTATTTAAATTGCAGAGTACTTTTTTGTGTTGAAAAGGGAAAAATAAGCATGTATATTTGCATTTGCATAAAGAATAATACAAACCAAAAAAACAATAAAAATAGTTGCTTGAGGTGAGTACCTGGCAGATGACGAAGTGGTGGAAATGAGCCTTTTCAATGTATACATGACTACATTGGAGGGGAAGGGACAACTGAGGGAAAAGCTGCGAAGTGTTATGATATGATATTTGTATCACATATATAATATATATACCAATATACCAGTTACCTGGAACAGCTTTGAACCTGGAAATCAGCCACAAGCCTCTCTGAGCAGTATAGAAAATGCCTCCTGCCCCATATCTATTAATTAGCTCACTTATTTGTTCAACACTCAGCTGTTAATTGAGTGACCTTAAACAAGCCACACAACACCTGGCACATTGTATACACTGAACAAATATTTATGAAACAGCCCAATGAACAATACCTGATAGAATATTATGTACCTATCAAAAATCAAGTCTTTGACAAATTTCCAATAATACGGTCATGATGTAATGTGATGGAAAAAAAAGACAGAATATGAAACTTACATGGAGTATGATCTGGATGCTGCACATATACAAAGATGCAAGAGGGAAAAAAGACTAGAAGGAAATATCGAGAGACAGCAGCAGCGGAATGTGGGCTGATGGCGAATATTCTAGGAGCCTGGTCACTTCCAGGTATATAGTAAACTATAGCCTTGTCCCAGTGGGTGCAGGTAGAAAAAGGTGACACTGCCAGGACCTATCCCCTCCAGACAACAGAGAAAAGGAGAGTGAGAAAGGGCACCCTACCGCTCTGCCCAGAAGTGATGTCACCATGGCAACGGTAGGTTTGGGGTGGGACCAGGAGAGAGAGACAGATTTATTTTAAAGAATTGGCTTACATGACTGTGGACGCTGGGAAGTCCAAAACCTGCAGGGGTGGAAACCCAAGAAAGAGCCCATGCTGAAGTTCAAGTCCCCCAGCAGGATTTCCTCTTGCTCAGGAAACATAGTCTTTGTTCTGTTTGGGCCGTCAACTGACTGGATGAGGCCCACCCACATTATGGAGCAACAGGCAATCTGCTTTACTCAAAGTCCACAGATTTAAATGTTAATCTCATCTAAAAACACCTTCACAGAAACACCCAGAATAACAGATCAGACAAAAACATGGCCTAATCTGGCTGACACATAAAAGTAACCATCAAACCAACTTAGATGTATTAAGTTGTAATAATTTTTAATTTTTAATAGTTTTTTTAATGTCAGGTTTCTAGTTTTTATACAAAGTTTTGCCCATTTTTGAGCTTTATAGTAACAGATTCATATGGTATGCATTCTTTTGGGTCTGCATTTTTTTCCCTCAACGTTATGTTTTTCAGAGTCTCTTACTGATATGCCTGACTTTAGTTCAGTCATTTTCATTGTTGTTTAGCATGATTGTCTTATGATTTCTCAATCTGTCTTCTGTTGCTTCCATTTAGGTTGTTTTTATTTGGGGAGCATTCCTGTACACGTTTCCTTGGGATTATGTGCCTGCTTTTCTGTTGGGTGTATACCTGGGCATGGGACTGCTGATTTCTAGGGTTTGTAGCTTCAGTTTCCTGCAGAATTCTCAGCTCTGTTCCACAGTGTCCCTGCAATCCACCAACCCACCAGTAATGTATGAGGAGTCCCCCAACACTGGGGGGCATGTTGTGATATCTCACTGTCACTTTAATTTGCACTTTTCTGGTTGCAAGTGAGGTCGAACACTTTTTCTGTTACCCATTAAGATGACCATTTGTGAAATGTCTGTTCAAGTCTTTTGTCCATTTTTTCTTATCAATATATACACGTCTTTACATATTCTTGATATTAGCTCTTCGCCAGTAAAATATGTTGCAGATACCTACTCCTCCTCTTGACTTGTCTCTTTTCTTAAAAACATCTTTTATGCCAGCTGCACTCCAATTTATGAGTCTTTCTCTCGATGGTTAGCATTTTTCATGTTTCCTATCCCAGGTAGGAATGATACTCTCCTATCATATCATCCACCTCTTTTTTCTTTAAGTACATTTTCCAACTTATTTTTATAATGGCTATTAAAGAGTGAGTGTGTATGTATGTGTTTGTGTGTGCGCGCACGCAATCCCCCCTTGCCACACCTGGCCCTGCAGTCACCTCCTGGGCTCTGGCTCCCTCTGGTGGACCTTGCGGCTCATTGAAAGATGGCTCTCCAAAGCCCTGCTGACCATCTCCCTCTCTCTGGGGCTAAGATTCCCTACAGCGATAGGTTCCCTTGGTTTATGGGAATGGTGCTCCTTTCTAACACTGCATAATATGCAGACTTTATACGAGAAGCTGTGTGTTTTAAAAATCACAAAGCCATTGGCACTAGGCAAACCAGCCTCCTGGAAAGATCTACACATAACCCCTCTGGAGATCTTGTTAAAATGCAGGCACTTGGTAGGTTTGGGGCGAGACCTAAACATCTACACCTCTGACAACTTCCCAGGTGATGCCAATGCTGGTGGCTCAAGAGAAACAAAGTTGCAAGTCAACGTGTGGGACCACTCAGCACCCGGTGCTGCTCAAAGTATGGTTCGGATAATACCACGGCTGCTGGTATCACAGTCTGCGATCCGTCAAGTTCCCCAGGTGAATCCCACGCACAGTAAAGTGTGAAAGGCAGCTGGTGGGCCCTGTGAGGAATCAGATGACATACCACCTCCCCACTGATGCCCATGGGGTCAGCCCAGAGGGCTTGTGGCCAGGATTCACCTGCTGTGTACCAACCTGCATCCAAAATCCAGTTTTCAGCTCAAACAGAGTTGTTACAAATAGTTGCTTAGGATCAGGTCAGCTATATCCCTTTGGGAGGAAGTCTACCCAGAATAGTGGAAGCTAGAGAAAAGGGGAGCCTGTTTCACATTTAGACCTCTGGGAAATGCTGGGCTACATCGAGGTGTCAGAAGCAGGGTCTCTGTTTCTTTTTTCTGCCAGAGGGGCAACAGATTATTATCCAGGAAAGGTCAAATCCCAGAAGGGTGACTTAGTCAAACTTCAGCAAGATGCTGGTATTCCTGCCTACGTGTGTTTTTTCTTTTTCCCCACCAGAATTTCTGTTGGGTTCTTTTCAGGCCCACCAAGGAAGGCTCCCCTTCCCAGACAGAACCTGTCCCATTGGAGATGAGCTGAACAAACAGACACCGGGGCACAAGGAGGGGGATCTTTGCTGGCCCTGCCCTCACCAGTAAGTGGAGACCATGGTCCAATGCCACATTCTCACGCGGAAAAGAAATCTTGAGAATTCTCCTTTGGCTGCCTGTATAGCTATTAAGATCCCACCCCAAGAGATTCTGATGTGATCTGTCTGGGGTGTGACCTGAGCATTGGGATGTTTGAATGCCCTCCAGGTGGTCTGACCATGCAGGTTAAGAGCCACTGCTTCATAGCCTTCTTTATTACTGTTTCACTCCTCCTATTAGGATGTAAACTCCAAGGGCCCAGAAACTTTATCTTATTTATTGCTATTCTTGCTTACCCAGCGTGGTCCCTGATACATAGAAGGTACTTAATAAATATTTGTGGAATGACAAACGATAAAGGCTGGAGAGGGCGTGGAGAAAAGGGAATTTTCCTACACTGTTGGTAGAAATGTAGTTTGGTACAGCCACTATAGAAAACAGTATGGAGATTCCTTAAAAAACTGAAAATAGACTTACTCTATGATCCATCAATCCTACTCCCAGGCATATATCTGGAGGAAAGTCTAATTTGAAAAGATACATGCAGCCCAGTGTTCACAGCAGCACTATTTACAATAGCCAGGACATGGAAGCAACCTAAATGTCCATCAACAGATGACTGGATAAAGAACTTGTCATATTATGTACATATACAAAGGACTACTCCTCAGC